TTGATAATTATACTGTGGGTTATTCATTTCAGCGACATAGAGTATCTCATTATATGAACATAGCACAATTTATGTAGACTTCCTACTGTGAAAAGACATTTGGAAAGTTTCCAGTTTGGGGCCATCAGAAGTATAAATGCTATCCATATTCCAATCCATTTTTCTAATAGACTGTAGGGGTTTTTTTCTAGGGGAACTGACTTAGGAGTGAAATTGCTGGACCACAGATAATACCCACCTTCAATATAATAGATTACACCAAATTGTTTTCAAAATGGTTTACACTGCTACTCCTACCATCTTCACATTCCTCACCAACATTTATTCTCACTGTGGATTTTTAGCTTATAGTTAGTTCATTGATTTCTCATGAAGTTGAGCATCTTTTCATATATCTTTTAGCTGTCTGTTTCCTCTTCTGTGAGATTTTTTAAAACCAATTTTTAATAAATAATCTTTTAAATTTTTATTCATTGGAGTCTTATTCTAGGTACTATAAATCATTTGTTGGTTATTTGTGTTGGAATCATATTCTCCCATGACTTATCTTTTCATTTTGATGAACAGAGGTTCTATTTTTTTTTTTTTTTTTTTTTTTTTGAGACAGGATCTCACTCTGTCACTCTGTCACCCAGGGTGAGTGCAGTGTTGTGATCGCAGCTTGTAGCAGACTTAACCTCCCTAGCTCAAGCAATCCTCCCACCTCAGCCTCCTGAGTAACTGGGACCACAGGTGCACGACATCACACCTGGCTAATCTTCTGTATTTTTTGTAGAGATGGGGTTTCACCATGTTGCCCAGGCTGGTCTCAAATTCTTGGACTCAAGCTATTGACCCACCTCAGCCTCCCAAAGTGCTGGGATTACAGGCGTGAGCCACTGCACCTGGCCTAGGTTCTTCATTTTAATAAAGTCAAATTTATCCACTTTTTCCTTAAGGTTTGTCCTTTTGGTGTACTAAGAAATCCTTTCCCAGCATAAGGTAATGAAGATATTGCCCTATTTTTTTTTTTCTTAAAAGTGTTGTGAGCTTTTACTGTCATACTGTCCTTAATCCATCTGAAATTGACTTTTTTACTGGTATGAGACAGAGATGTAATTTCATATATTTCTATTTAGATATCCAATTGTCCTATCTTAATTTTTTTAAGTTCTTCCTTTTCCCACTTACTAGCAATGCCAATTCTCATTTACCGAGTTTCCACATATGTGTGGATCTATTCTAGGGTTTGCTATTCTGTTTCACAGGTCTTTGTTTTTCAACCCTGTTCTTATACCCACATTGTCTTAATTACTATAGTTTTATAATGAGTCTTGAAACCTGGCAAAGCAAGTACATTCACCTCGTTTTTTTTTTTTTGCCTAATCTTGGCCCTTTATGCTTTCATATAAACCTCAGAATTACTTTTATCAAGTGCTACTGGAAAATCTTGCTGAAATTTTCATGAAAATTGCATTAAATTGATCAATAGTTATAACTGATATGTCCATAATATTGTCAACCTAGGCTTGAACGCAGTACTTTTCTTCCATTTATTTAAATCCACATTGGCTTTTGATAAAATTTTTCAATTTTTTCCATGAAGTTTGACCACTTTTGCTAGGTATATATACAGAAAGATTTCTATCTCTATATACACATGGCAAAAGCATTATATTCTTAGGAAACTCATATTTTGCTGTTACTGTCATTATAACTGGATTTGTAAATAATTACTTTTTCTATTTGCTATTTTTTATTATTTTTAAACTATTTTTTAAAGACAGGCTCTTTGTCAGCCAGGCTGGAGCACAGCGCCGTGATCACAGCTAACTGCAGGCCTGAGCTGCTGGGCTCAAGCCACCCTCTCACTTTTTAGCCTCCTGAATAGCTGAGATTAGAGTAGCTGGGATTATAGTCACCAGCCACTGCGCCTGCGCTTTGTTATCAGTGTAGAAAAGTGCAATTGATTTTAGTATCCTATACTCAGCTAACTTGCCAAACACTCCCAATTTTTATAATTTACTTGTAGACTCTTTTTTCTACATAGGTTATTATATCACATTGAGACTTTTGGTTTTTCCTTTCCCATACTTATTCCTTTTATTTCTTCTCCTTGTCTTATTACACTGGCTAGGATTTCTGGTGCAGTTGAGTAGAAGCTATGATAGCCGGCATCCACTCTTGTTTCTGGCTTTAAAGGAAATGTTTATTTTAAATTTGACTGTTGCTATGATGTCAACTAAAAGTTTTCTGTAGATACTCTAACCGATTCAGGATTTTTTTTTCCCTAATACTAGTTCCCTAGGTGCTTCTTCTTATTATTAGAAGCTGAATTTAGTTGAATGCTTTTTTCTGCATCATTGCTATAAAAATATATCTTTTCTAATCTGTGAATGCAAAAAACTGTACACATTTTTCTAATATTGATATAATCTTGCATTCTTAGAATAAGGTCAGTAACCCAGGACTTTTCACTTGGAGAGTCAAAAGAAGCTAGATGTTACTGGAACAGAAACTATCTACTTTAAACTGTATAGTGCCAGTCCTACTTGTTTATCTCAAAACCCTGCCTCCTCCATGACATCACAGCTGACTCATCCATGCCTTCCCTGAGCTTTTAGAGTATGTACCATTGATGATAGTCATTTGATGCTCTGCATGTGCTATTCTATTCATGACCTACCTACTAACTAGAATATAAGCCCCTCAAAAAACAGCAACAAATAAGCACACAATAATTCCTTGCTTAAAATGCTTAAAATATCCTTGCGGATGAGATGGGGAAACATGAGGTAGGTAATAATACAGCATTCTCAGAAAATGAGACTTTTGGACATATGAGTTTTCTAAAGAGCTGCTGTTTTAATCTCCTAACACCAAAACTTTAAAATCATTCTAAATTGTACTTCCCTGCTTTGTTAATCGAGTATTCTGGCCATGCTTAATACACTTGGGTTTAACTTTTCTTGTTAAGGACAGTCAATTATGAAGAATACCAGTTATGAGGTTGTGGTGGAAACATAGCTATAGATACACAATGTGTGGGGTGGATGCAAAACCTCAGCTGTGACCTTGAACAAGACTAACAGGAAAAAAAAAAAAAAAGGTGGGTGGTGGTGGTGGGGGCGGGGGGCAGGCATTCTTCCCCTTTGGCATTGGCCTCTAACTCTCAGCAGTGATTTGTACTTTTCTTCCTCTGCTCTCCTACTCTTCTCTGGCTTCTTTTACCCCAGAATTACGCAATGGCAGAGTTGTAAGACTGATACATTTTTAGCAGTGATACTGTGAAAAGTTGCCATTTCTCCAGATTACAACCTTCTAGCTTGTTTTTCATTGTGTACTATCTTTTTTTCTGGACCTCATTGCTGCTTCTAATCTCTAGAGAAGACGCAGCATACGGTGTAGCAAAGAGAACCATCTGGAGCCAGGGTACCTGGATTCAAAACCCAGTTTTGCACTTACAGTTGAAAGCCCTAATGACAAGTTATTTAACCTCACTATTCCTCAGTTTCTTCACCCATACCATAAGAATGTATACCTACCACACATGATTGTTATGAAAATTAAATAAGTTAATATTTACAAAGTACTTAGAACCTGGCCTACCACACAGTATGCATTACATAGGTGCTATTTAAAAAATGGATAAAATACTATCGACTTCAACTCCACCACTGTCTTATCTCTCTGCCTCTTAAAACTGTTTCAGTATTTCTCGTTTTGGTTGTGTTTGCGCTAGTGGAGACGGGAAAAGGGATGGGTCTGACATTACTGAGGGATCCCAGCGCCCCTTCCCACTGGTCAGAGCCTCTATCAGACACATAGGGGAAAAGGGAGGGAGAGTGTCAGGTATATTCATCACTGCTCTGTTAGCTATGCGAAGGTGAAGAAAATAGAGATGTTTATTTAACTAGCATAACAGAAATCCAGGGACATGTGTGACTGCTGTTTTCAAATATTTGCAGGGCTGGGCTGGAGAAGAGATAATAGCATTTAGAATTCTATGCAACAGCTACAGGCTCCCCTTCACTAAACATGTTTAAGCAGGGTACTGGTGGCCAGGTGTCAAGGATGCTATAAGAATTTTTAAAGTCAGATAATCTTTCAGATTTCTTCTGCCTCTAAAGTCTTGGTAATCCTAGTATGAGTCACTAAGTGGTTACAACCTACGTGTGAGTCACACATCGCCAATGCGCTCCCGAAGGCACAGAATTCACTCCCCACAGTGCTTGGCATCTTACCACAGACCTAAGTGAGGAATTCTAGCCCTGGAGCTGCATATAACCCAGCTCAGAAGAACAAAAACTTTCCTAAAACTCAGGGCGCCAGTTAGCTGATCAGCAAATACAATAACGCGCACATCCCAAACGGGACTTGGCAAAACGGTGTGCATCTGGATTAACTGCCGGACAGTCTCACGTCACTTTTCCACGAGGCCGGACAGACGCGGGCAGAAGTGAGCAGCAGCAGGTTCAGGGGAAGGGGCAGGGTGGCCGGGATGAATGGGAGCCCGGCGAGCTGACCCACGGCGGGGAGGGACAAAGGCCCGGGGAGCGTATGCCGGGCGGGGAGCCCGGGACCGGGATGCGAACCGGTGATGAAGTTGGTTAAGCCGCGGAAACGAGGAGGACCCTAAGTGCCAGCGGGGGACGGGGGACGGGGCGCGGAGGTCCTCCCTGCCTCGGGTGCTGGGATCGGCCGCTCGCCCCGCGGAGGGCGCCTCGCCCGGCCAGGGGCCCCAGAAGCCGCAGCCCCGGGCGCAGGCCCGGCCCCCGCGCCCCGCAGCCTCCCTTGCTGCCGGGTCCACTCAGCCCCGCCGCCGGATTTCGGACTGTTCCAGTCTCCCGCCGCCGGGGCCGGGGCCCGTCCAGGAGCCCCACACAGTCGGTCGGACGACGCCGCAGTGCCGGCGCGGAAAGTGGGGCAGCCGCTGCCTCCCGTCCGGTCGTGCGAGCGGCGGCCGCCATCGCGGGCCGCGGCGGGAGGGAGACGAGGGGCCGCGCCGGGCGCCACTTTACCTGAGAAACCAGCGGGAGCAGCGTCTGCTCCACCGAGCGAGTTTTGATCTCCAGTCCCGAGTCCAGGGCGAAGCCCGAAGGGCCGGAGCCGTACACGGCGCCGGCGCCGGCAACGCCGGCGGGTCCGGGAGAGGCGGCCATGGCCCTCGGTCCGTCCCGCAGCCCGGACTCCGCGCCACTGCGAGCCCGCCGCCAGTCAGCCCACCCGCTCGCGGCGGCGGCGACAGGACACCCGCGCCGCCCGCCCCGCGCCGCCGGGGGCCCGCCCCCTCAGGGCTCCGCCCCCAGCCGTGCGCCCCCGCCGCCCGTATCCCGTGTGGCCCCGCCCACTCTCGGCCTCAGCCCCGCCTCCACACTCCAGTTTTGGGTGGGTTCTCTGCAGCCCCGCCCCCTAAGCCTGGTCCCGGCCCCGCCCCGCCCCGCCCCTATCTCTTGTCAGGCCACTCTTCCAAAGATTCCAGACACCATCTCCCCCCGCTGGCTAGGAGAAACAACACAACCTGAGTCTCCCACGGCCACATGGCCTCCTCTTACTGGGACAGACAACCGTCCCCAGCAAAGCTTCCCGTCCTCTCGACAGGTAACTCACCCTAAATCAGCTCTGAATTCCCGCAAAGGTTTCTGGAAGCTGTGCTGGGGTTGAAACTAGTAGAACAAAACCAGAATCAAGTCTGTCGGGAGGGGCCTTTCCCACGGGACCGGAATTCCAGTGGTAATGTGTTTCTGGGGCTTCTCTGGAAGGCCCCATTTCCACTCCACCTGCTTATTCTTTTCCATGTATTTCTCACAAACACTGTGAGCTAGATTGAAGGGGGAACATTTGATCATGCAATATTTATGGAGTATCTGGGTATTTGGCAGGAAGTCAGTATATCTTTCAGACTACTGTTTAGACTTACTGTTCAAAAGAAATTTAAATAAAACATGAAAAAAATCTCATCTGTTCAACAGTACTTCTGAAAACTACTTTTCAAGAGTTTTTTTCCTAGTGCCAGGCCCAGAGCAGTTTCTTCATAACTGTTCATTACATGAAAACCTTCCAGAGAAGACCCAGAAACACATTACCACTGGAATTCCGGTCCCACGGGAAAGTCCCCTCCCGACAGACTTGATTCTGGTTTGGTTCTACCAGTTTCAACCCCAGCACAGCTTCCAATAGTGTGTATTTCTGACAACCCACTTAAGGGGAAGGATAAGAATCAGTTCTGTAAGCACGACCCTGAGCTCGCAGAGCCCCACGATGGGGGCGGGGAGCTGAAAACTCCTACCCTAAGGTCTCCAGGAGCAAGGCCAAAAGGAGAGGTTGTCAGGAGTATGCACACTGTGAAGGAGTTCCAGGCTTAAGCAAGACTGAGAAGCATGAAAAATGTTTTGTGAATTATCATATCTACCAGTGAGAACCTATCAGAGTAAAAAAGAATCTGAGGCTGCCCAGTGCACTCGGACACCTTGGCCTGGATCATTTCTCCTTCTATAACATCACATTCATGAGCCGGATATGATCAACCTGAGGCATCAAAAAGCTCTTTCCCAAGCATCATTAAAAAGTGTTTCGTGGTGTTTCCACCAGTCACTTCAACTTCATCCATCTACCAGTGCTGTGCAGCTGTCTTTGGTATTGAAGACGGCCAAGCTTCAGCTTCTTTTTCTTCAAAAGGCACAGGTCCTTAATCCAATTTTTTCTTCCAATTCTTACTTCTCAGCCAACCATCTCACTACTTCCTTACCTACCACAAGGCCACCTTGCCCTGTGCACGGAGGGCACTTGATCTCTTTAAGGCGACCAGTGTCCACTCTCCAGACACACACAAAGTTGACAGTATTTCATAAGAATTCAGTGTACACAATGGTGCTAGAGGAAATGGCAAGATACAAGGCCTAAGAGACAGATGGATTCATGAAAGTTTGGCTTCACATAAGATCAAGTTTTTCAACAGAGAGGAGATTGTTTACCACCTGATTCATTCAACACTAGTAATTTTATTTCAAAATATAATTTTTTACATTTACAAAGAAGTTACATCAGTAGGTTGTCAAAGCAAGTTAAAGCTAAGAAACAGCATTCGTGTGAGAATAGAGAATATTTACTGTTATATTCGAATATTCTTTACTTTCAAGTTGCCTCTCCTTTGCCTGAGAACCCAGAGATGATACATTTTCAAAAAGTTATGTAAGCAATTACAACTCTATATCCAATCTTAGTTCAAAATCAAATGGTATTTGAAATACATTCCAGTCACCTAAATAAGTGGTACTGCAAAGGGCAAAGAAGGGTTTTTGGGGTGGCTACAATGAGAGTTACATCTGCTGGGTCACTGCAATAAAAAAGAAGTGGTATTTGATAACAAGCCAAAATTATCAGGATTTGCTTCCGTATTTTTCACTGTAAAATATAAAGCTGGCAGAAAGCTAGTAAGGAACCAGGTGTCTAGTAAAGCACTCTGGACTTGGAGTCAGAAGTTCTGCAACTGAATTCTGGCTCCATCATTTTGTGATATAAACTTAGGGGACTATCACCAACAACTTTTCAGAGCCTCCAGAGTTCCCCCATCTAAACAACAAGGATAATATTGTCTATCTCACAGGGCTGATACAAAATGTGTCTGAAAACTATAAAGTGCCATACAAAAGCATTATTAAAATGTAGTATCAATATATCACCACTGTATTTGCACATTAGTTGATCCTTGAAAAACCTGCAAAATTAAACACAAATACTGATTTTACACACCACAGGTGGAAACGAATCTCTATACCTTAAGTACAGCTCTGAAGAGCAAATATGCTTGCTTTCTAGTAACTCACTAAACTTCAAGATTTATTACAGACTGCATGGTACCACAGTAACAGATCTGCCATTTAGTATTTCCATAGGGATGTCTTCTCAAAGAGCTGTAAACCTGATCGAGGGCCATGTTTCCCAAAGTCCTTTGAGATGCTCTGAGGAATGGAGAAGGGAAGTGCAGCCTAAGGTCAAACACAGTCTCTGTCCGCTCTTATAAATTCACAATGTATAATAGCATGTTCAAAACTTTACAGAAAGGAAACAAACTCAGCATTCCTTCATTTTAATTGACCATGGAATCTCCCACCCACAATACACACATACTTTTTTTTCTCTTACATCTATTAACATCTCTTGGAACTACTGCTATAAGGAACACATTTTGCCAAAAGCTGCTCAACCATGAGCAAAAGGAAAGAGAAGTAAAACACGGACTGACAGAAAAAAAGAACTCTATTCTACTCTGAATTCTGTTACCAGTTGGCTGTATGGCTATGTCAGACAAGCCACTTAAACCTATGAATGTGTGTCTTTCTCTAGAAAATGACAGGACCACCTCATTTTAGAAGGCCCATTCTAGCACAGAATTTCTATAACTCTAGTAGACAGAACAACTTGATTTATAATTCTCTTAAACTATCAAAAATAACCAATCAGTGGTTGCAGACAGCATGTATTTTTCTTTTTGCAGGTTCCCTATAATCAGTAAGTAATAAATATATTTTGATGGCAGAAAGTTGCAAGACAAGAAAATAATAAAAATTAAAAATATTTGTTTTTAGCTGGAACTAGCATTTGAAGTATGCTGCCAGAGGCTTGTTCCACTGTAAAATGGGCAAAGTCCTACTGTAATATTCTTATAAGGGTCTTAGGAGGCCCCTCAGAGGACACTGCAAGGTCAGGGCTAAAGTATGAGAAGTCCTAAGGGTTTTTTTTGTTTGTTTTTCTCCTACAAACCCTGAGGTTGAAAGCTCTGGATAGCTCACCTAATCTAATCTAACCCCTCATGGCCTGAATTTCTGAGTATTTCTTACCCAGTAGTGACACATTCCTCAGGCACTAATATAACCCAAATGGAAACCACAGGTCCTAGGGAGTCCAGATAGGTCACAACGGTTTCATGTTAAGATCAAGGTGAGCCAGAAGATCTCATCTGCAAGCCATTCAGTAGCCCTTTAACTGTAATAAGCAGCTTCCACTTTCAAACGCTACAGAGTCTGTTTACACACAGGGTCTCCCTGTAACATGATGGATTTCTTCCTACTGTCATGGGTCAACTCACACTAGTCTCAGAAGTCAAGGGAAAACTCTGCCAGCTAACCACTTCTTATCGAAGAAGGTGTGAAGAAACCTCACAATTTTAAAAATAACTAAGACCGGCATGTAAGGTGGTCTGACAGAGATCACTTGCAGGAACAGATACTGAGAGAACTTTTGAACCCAAACAACATTCACATGACATGGAATTCATGCTGAAATCCCATGCCTTCTTCTCTCTCAGCAAAGGGGCATACCTGTGTGGAGAGCTTGTATTTTCTGCCCTCCCCTCCATTCAGTTTACAACTGAATAGTGAATGTGAACTTGAAACTAATCTTTAATAAATCTATAAAATGCAAGATATGATGACAAATTTCTGTACTCGGTTTTTACTGAAGTGACTTCTCCTTCATCAATGTCCTGTCTGTTCCTGGAGAAACTTCCTCTGTGGGTCAAATTCTAACTGAGAGTCTAAAGGCAGGTTATCTTTTAGACTTGAGCTTAAAACTCCTACCTTTTCATACCACTTGATCTCTGTTGCCCTGTGAAAATTCTGTAAACTTTCCTCACTGCATCTGAGGAAGCATGCTGGGATGCTTCTTTCTGGTTCAGAGGGTTCCAAGATGACCTCCCCAGCTGGTGGACCTTCCTAGTCCTTACGCTGTTGCTGTAGCAATGGGCAGTTCAAGTTTCCTGATCATGGCTGTAAAGCACTCTGGGGCATCTCTGCTCCTGATATTTCCGGGTAATATTACATCACTGCTGCTAATTTTGGTAGCTCTATTCTTTTAAAGCCCTGTAAGAACCTGATATTTATGCTAATAATTATCCCCCAGCAACAAACATTAACTCTAGTTTTTTGTAATATCACTTTATACAGCTAAAAGCACTTTGTATATGCATAGTAACTCATTGTTTGTCTCTTATGAATATGTGCTAATTACAGCTATAAATAATCTATACAACAAAAACAAACAATTTCTTTTTTAGCCTTTTAATGCAAAAAATTTAAATTTAGTATTACATACGATCTGGCTAAGAGCAAGAGGCCTTCTTATGAGCAATCTCCTTCACTTTGTACGGTGCCTGGCATGGAGCCTAGAGTTTACCAAACTCTCAAGAAATGTTTTAGTGAAGGAATGATTGACTAAAGAAGACAATGAGTTACTTACTAAGTGACCAAATCTAATACTTAGTGGAATAGTTGACTATAATTGCTAAAGGATTCATAACAGAAATGAGGTCTGTATGTAGTCTATTGCATATAGTCAGAAGACCTCATGGTAGCCTTTTCTAAATGAAATTTGTCTTAAGTAGTGTAAGAATAAATTTAAGCTAATTATAATTATCAGTGACTTCTTAGGAAGATGTTTTAGAAAAAATTATTAGAATTTCTACCTTTAAATACTTTCCAAAAAGGAAATCTTCAACACTTAAGAACCACCCGCACTTTTTCCTTTGGGACAGAGTTTCACTCTCTCACCCAGGCTGGCGTACAGTGGCGCCAACCTGGCTCACTGCAGCCTCAACCTCCTGGGTTCAGGTGATCCTCCTACCTCAGCCTCCTTAGTAGCTGGGACTATAGGCACACTACCAGGCTCAACTAATTTTTTGTAGAGAGGGGGTTTCGCCATGTTGCCTAGGCTAATCTTAAACCTCTGGGCTCAAGTGGTCTACCCGCCTTGGCCTTCCAAAGTGCTGGGATTACAGGCGTGAGCCACCACCTACAGCCTGGCCAAGAACCCTTTTCTCCTCCACATTCCCTTGGGAGAAGAGGATAGGCCTGAGGATTGTTTTAAACAGTAGCAAGGGTTCAGTTAAGAGCAACAGTCCACTCCCAGCCCTGTCATATGCTATAAGACAAGTCTTCATTCATAACAAATGGATAGCAACACCTATTCCGTAACTGGGAAAACTGCATACAATATTTAGAAGAAACACGAGTGCAACAGAGTCTGCAGACAATGGAGTCAAAGATCTGAGGCCGAATCTTACTACACTTACGACTTTGAGTTGGTCATTTTTCTGAACCTTAGCTTCCCCATCAGTGTAAAACTGATGTAAAATAACATAAAGTTATATGAAAGCTGATGTGACATACTTGTGAAATAATATGTGCAAAAGGACTTTGTAAAATGTAAAGCACTATGCTGGTTGTTGTGATAATTGAGATTTTTTTTAAGTTGCAATTCAATTCAACAAGCATTCATTCAGAGTCATGTGCAAGGCACAGTGCTAAGAGATGGGAAAATACTACATAAATATAAAATTCTGCTGAAAACTAACTTATTAGCAGAGTTCCAAATAATGAAACAGGGATACATTTAACAAATCGGAGTATTGCTACACCTGAGATTTTTCACTTAAAACATTTGGATGGAGAAAACCTAATAACAGCATGAATTTTATCATATTGTTACCTTTCATGGCAGCTTAATAAGTATTTTGCTTCAATGCGGTCAGCCATGTTTTAGAATTTTGCAATAGTGAACAGAGCATGAAGAGAAAAGGAAGAGGAGGAAGAGCTTCAGTCTTTGTATCTCCTAGGGTTACAACATAAAACTGAACATCAAATAAGCCACCTCATCCTTACACTTATGATTTATTCTTTCTTAAAGAGGGTACCATACATTGTGTGAGAAGGGTAGAAGACTCATTTTTCCTCACTCAACTACACGCTCAAAAGTGAAAGCCCGCTTCCTGAAAAGTGACTGTCTTAGAAAAAGTTTAACAATAGATTTCTTAAACCAAGAAAAAAATTACACCATATATAACAGCAGGTAGTTTAGAGTTCTTAAAATAACTTTATAAATACATAATACAGGTAACCAAAGTGGAAAAATTTCAAGCCATGGAACCAGTGTATAAAATGAAACTTTTCAAGCCATCTTAGCAACAGTTAAGTGAGCAAATCACCAATTCTGAACTCTCAAGCTGTGTTTTAAAATACAAAGCAGCCTGCAGCAAGTTCTCTCTTATCCAGACATTCTGTAAGTAAGGCCAGGAGGCTTCTGCTTCTTTCCTGGGTTCTGCTTGCTAGGCACAGCTGAAAGGGCAGAAGGCCACAGCTGGGCTGAACTCACTGTCAAGTTTGCACTTCCAAGAAAAATCACTGCAGAGGAAACCATGTCAACCTACTGAAGATTTCAGATCTTCAGAAATGTCACGGAAAGTCCTAAAAGAAAAAAAGACAGAATGATTAGTTGATTACCATACAACAGTAGCTTATTTTTTAAATCTTTGGAGCCCTGAAATTATATAGTCACTATTTTTTCTTAAGATTTTCACTGAGTATTGTTTAAAAGTTGGCTAGTTGTTGCTTGTTCTTTATTAACAAGAATGCCATATTTTTGCTGGATCCATTGTCCAAAGGACTATTTCCCCAGAATCCCTTGAAAGTACACATGACCATGTGACTACACTTTGGTTAATGAGATTTAAGTGGAAGTGTGCAAATTCTGGGCAGGTCCTTAAAAGAGAAGAGCAATCTTCTTCAGCTCTTCCACCTTGTTACTGGCTGAAAGTGGATATGATGATTGATGTTAGAGAAAAAACAGGAAGAGACCAAAGATTAAACGCTAAGTGGATACATTTTATTACAAAATAGAAACTGTAATCCAACAGGAAGTCCAAGCTCTGAGAGATGTGATTTAGTGCAGGAGAAATGGGGTAGGTCTTTTCATCAAGTGACCTTGTACTTATACTGTTTCTGACCCACATTAAACAAGCTAAGCGAATGATGTTATTGACAGGCAGTATCTGTGCTGGATGAAGGTGGCTGAGCTGTATACGTGTGCCTGGCTGCTGCATACATGAGGTGTCTATCTCAGGACTGTATAGTAGCTAGCTTGCTTTTGCTACATAATTTATATGTCTGAGCTGGGATAAGTTACCTAGTTAAATTTACATCTGTGCTGGCAGCCAAATGGCCGGGTCAGAATTTATCAGTGAACATGAGCTCAAGCACCCACATTAGACAAAAATGCCTCATACCAGTGTATCATGATAGAGGCTGGGACCAGATGTTTATGTAACAGTCATTCAAGCCCTGGATGGCCTACCTTCTTTTACACAAGCAAGAAATAAACTACTAGCTTGTTTAAGTCACTGTTATTTTGAGTCCTATTGATGATGGGGTTTTTGTTTAGTTTTTGGTTATGTACAGCCTAAACTATCTTAAATGATACAGATATAAAGCACAGTTTATTATCATTCTTTTAGATAGAAGTTATATTGCTCCTTTACAATAATACCACATATTAGAAATACAGAAAAAATTTGACTTTGCTTTTTTTTTTTTTTGAGACAAGGTCTTAGTCTGTTGCCCAGGCTGGAGTACTCTGGTGTGCTATCTCGGCTCACTGCAACCTCTGCCTCCTGGGCTCAAGTCATCCTCCCACCTCAGCTTCCTGAGCAGCTGGGACTACGGGGAACATGACACCATACCCAGCTAATTTTTGTATTTTTTGTAGAGACAGGGTTTTGCCACGTTGCCCAGGCTGGTCTCGAACTCCTGAGGTCAAGTGATCTGCCCATCTTGGCCTCCTGAAGTGCTGGGATTACAGACATGAGCCATCATGCCCAGCCTCAAATAATTTTAATGTTATAATAAAAGTTGTATTAGTTATATAAATAATATAATATATAAGTGATAAATTACATAATTATATTTATAAGTTAAATATGTTAATTTATAACTCATATTAAGTGATAAATTACATAATCATAAATTATAATGATGTAAATTATATTGTTATATTAATTTACAACCACATCACTATACTATGTTTTTTCTTTATATATACACACACATACACTGTTGTTTCTTCATTCATATATATATATATATATATATATATATATATATATATATATATTTGTTTTTTAAAGAGAGGGTTTCACTCTGTCACCCAGGTTGGAGTGCAGTGGTGTGATGATGTAATCGCAGTTCCTGGGCTCAAGAAACTTTGGGCTCAAGCGATCATCTCACCTCAGCCTCCCAGGTAGCTGAGATTGAGGTATACCTAATTTTTTTTTAATTTAATTTTTTGTAGACACAGGGTTTCTCTATGTTGCCAAGGCTGATCTTGAATTCCTAGCCTCAAGTAACTCTTCCACCTATATCCAGTGCTAGGATTACAGGTGTGAGCCACTGTGCCTGGCAGATTTTTTTAATCATCATCAAATAAAGCTAATTTTATTTAATAGCAATAACCAACTCTTGGTTATTGTCAACAAATTACTCAAATTTTTAATTAGAAATAGAGCTAAAGGCTAGACAAAGTGGCTCACACCTGTAATCCCAGAACTTTAGGAGGAGACTAAGGTAGGAGAATTGCTTGAGGCCAGGAGTTTAAGAGCAGCCTGGGCAACAGTGAGACCTCATCTGTAAAAAAAATTTAAAAATTATCCAGGCATGGTGGCATGTGCCTCTAGTCCCATCTAGTTGGGAGGCTAAGGTCGGAGGATCACCTGAGCCCAAAAGGCTGAGGCTGCAGTGAGCCTATGTCATGCCACTGCAGTCCAGACTGGGCAACAAAGTGAGACACTTGCCTTAAAAAAAAAAAAGAAATAAATAAATTGAAGTAGAATATAAGGTAAGTGTTCCAAAACCTTAGGGAACAGTTCACAGTAGTAGAAACTAAAGATAACAAAAGCTTTCATTAGGTATAATCACATAAAAACTCCTAAAACAAATAATCTGAACTTCAAATGTAATTCCACAATCATGCCTCCTCCCTTATTCCTTTTCTCTCCTGACTCTCAATTCATACAAATACTTAGGAGGCTCAAGGGCAAGGCAGAGATCAATTAAAGACTAATCTTGCAGCACGCAATGAGCAAAGTACTTCAATATCAAGGAGGACAGAGGTAAAATGTTACAGAAAAGAAATTACCCTCAAGGATGTTCAGTTATCTCAAGGCTCTTTCAAGGATGGTGCCCTAAGCCTCTGGACCTCTGAAGCACATCTTTACAAGCACAGCTCTGCTTTCAGGAACTGTGGGTCTCCTGGCTATGGCTCCTGAGGCTTTGAGAGGGTACGTGTGACATGAATATACCAACCATTTTTAAAGATGCTGGCTGATCTAAGAATTGAAATCAATTTTCTTTCCTTAAATATTTTTATCCTCTGAAAAAAAGTCCAAAAGTGAAGATTTGTATAGACATGTATGTTTATATGCATTAATATCTATCTTAACCTATCTATCTATCTGTCTGTCTGTCTGTGTCTGCCCGCCTATCTCAAATCAGTATTTCTCAACCTTGATATTTTTCTGCATTATAGGATGCTTCACAGCATCCCCAGCCTCTGTCCACCTAGAATGACAATTGAAATTACTCCAGACAAAATGTCTGGGGAGAAAAAAAATCACCCCTACGCTCCCGTCAGAACTATTGCTCTAGATAGCTATTTTTCAGTCTCACCAAGTTTGTGATTTTACATTTGTCTACAGGCCAAGCTGGCTGCTGTCTCAGAATATGAATTTCCAGGTAGCATTTAATTCTGAAAAGCCCTGGAAAATCTTTGCAAGCAATAGTCAAAACTTGGGTAATACTACAAAGTATTTTCTAATGCCCAATGGGGTTCTTTGACATCTTTTCAAATTTCTGAGATACCTGCAACTTTATATCTACAACTATTCACTTCCTTTAAATTATGAATGAAGATTTCTGCCTCAGGGCAAAGACACATGAACTAAGATTAAGGCTGTTCTTAGCCTCCTCACTGCTCTCTGTTGACAAGTAAGTTTAGCTGTAATCTTGAAATTGATACTTAATATTCAATTTTGTCTCCAGGCCAAGAAAGCCTCCAAAAGGACTCAGGAAAAAAACAAACAAACAAAATGAAACACACACAAAAACCCCAACAACCTGAAGCAAGCTTAGAAATCAGTTACTAAGAGTCTTCCATCTCAATGTCATCTCTTAAGTAGATAGGGTGTTAGGGTGGTGGAGCGAGGGGTGTGTGTATAGAAATAGAACCTTACTGAAGTAACAGTGATCTTGAACAAACCTCTAATTATCTCCAGGAAAGCACTATCTATAGTCTAGAGATGCAGAAATGATTTCGTTTTTGGTTTATTCCAGAGGCATAGCTCTAACTCAGGCGTCCCCAAACTTTTTACACAGGGGGCCAGTTCACTGTCCCTCAGACCGTTGGAGGGCTGCCACATACCGTGCTCCTCTCACTGACCACCAATGAAAGAGGTGCCCCTTCCTGAAGTGCAGCGGGGGGCCGGATGAATGGCCTCAGGGGGCCGCAGTTTGGGGACGCCTGCTCTAACTAATCAGCAAAGCTCATAAAACTATAACTCTGCATTGGAGAGAAATAGAGATAAATACTGCATGATACTATTTTCTGAAAATGTTTGACATCCTATGTAAACCATCTGAATATAGTAGTCTTTCCCAAATTATGAGGATTATTATTCTGCAAGGAAGCACAGTTATAGAATTTCTTATCTAAGAATAAGCAATGCAGACTGGGACCACATGTAACTGGGGGACTAGAGGACTGTTAACATTTTACACCTCCTTTCAGAGCAACAGGGATTGTGCAGTGTAGCCTCTCACTATTCTTTGCTCTTTGAAAATACTTTGGTATCTGCTTGCCCCAAAGTTCCAATGAGATCTTTACAAATTATTTCACCCCCCACCCCTCTTCCCTCCACGTAAATGTTTAAATCTTTTATGATCTAACAACTCAAGACTTGTTGACTCCCAGTCTTCTAGACATGCAGAAAAGTTTTGGATGCCTAAAAGTTACAACTGACTAATTTAACTTACTTAGCTGGCTCCCCAGGGCTGAGTGTATGTTTCCTACACCTGCACCAGCATGCAATCCTGTGACAGAGCACATGCAACCACTATTATGCATATCCCTTCCCTTCCAACAAACTTGGAATAAAGTTCTAAGGCTAGGGTTTACTGTATCCCATCCTCTTTTATCAGCCTCAAGGTTGTATTGAAAAGTCCTTTTTATCTAATCTGCTTTTGGTTTCACTAATCCACATATTCAATAAAGCTTCACCTAGCACTTTCTATGTGCCAAATATTATGTTAGGAGTGGTAAAACAGTGGTAAACAAGTTAGATATAGCTCCCACTTTCAAAAAGCTTACCAACTGGTGGGAAAGACAATGAATTAAACTCACATTTATGAAACACAAATTT